AATTCGGAGCTCTCCACCATCTATGATGAGCTGGCATTTTTGCAGGCTTCAGCAAAGATCACTGACCCTGGGTGGCTTGCTGACAACAAAGAATGCAACCATGAATTTGTGCACGTGATTGTGCAGCTGTGTAAGGTCGAACCAAAAGACTGAGGAGAAGGTGGCTGAACTGATGAAGAGACTCAGGAAGGAGTGGGCAACTGAGATGATGTGCAATGGTGTGCTCATGGATGGGTTTGTTGTATTGCTGTGAGCCAAGGGCAGCCCTGGCCATTTCGTTTGAAGCCAAGAATAGGAGCGTGTGCACGCATGTTGCATTCAGTGCCTTCACAGGCACTTGGGCCTGGCTTGCAGGAAGATGGTTGTGAAGGTGGAGAAGAAAGATGATAGTAATCAGCCAGCCAATCGGGCTAAGACTGGTGAGGCCAAGGCGAAGACCAAGGCCAAGGCAAAACCTGAGCAGACAACTGAAGAGCCTGAGCCGCCTAAGAAAAGGCACAGGGGAAAGTCCGGTGCCTAGTAGCTCAAAATTTGATGCCAGAGGGGAACCTCTAGGTGTGTGAATGCACACACGATGGTTCGCGCTTTTACCATAAGCAATGTGGTGGGGTGAAAAGTTTCCCTTGCTGCCAAGTGTGGCTTGTGACTTACATGTTGGGCCCACGCATGGATCGAGCAACTAAAGGGTACACGCTCCCAGTGGGACATGCCAGGTTTGAAGCAGACCAACTCGAGGAAGACTATGTTCTTTGCCCGCCAGTTGGCCAAAGGGGTGTGGCGCTTGGCACTCGCTGCTTGTGGAATGCAACTGGGTGATCAGGTGTGCAACTTCCCTCTGCTTGAGAGGTTCCTGCGTCAAGCATTGTGGAGTGTGCGCAGATAGATGCAGAAGATGGGATTGCTGATGCAGGATTGGGGCCCGGTTGTATAAGTTTGGTGGCCGCATCGTGTATGTTCAAGGTCGCTGGGACCAGTTGCCTAAAGCGAGAGCATGGGACCTGTCTGTGTAATTGAGGGCCTGCGAAGGCCCTCACCTGTGTGCACCACCTGTGTTTGCAGGACCTGGCAAAAGGGTCAAAAAGAGATGCAGAAGAACATGTGCGCAAAGTCATGGGTGACTGCAAGAAGGCCACTTTCCAGGCCAAGATATCATTCCTGCAGACGCTTGGAGAACAAGAGTTGTTTCATTTTTTGTGCATGATTGTCAATGCTCTTTGGCGCTGGCGCCCAAAGAGTGGGAAAGTCCAAGCGTCAGGTTGGGTGTGTCAAAGAAGCTCATGAACTACCCGGCCATAGAGCCCATGGATGTTGTTGCAGCTTTGGCCCAACATGGCCATTTTGAAGCTGCCCTTGGGGTGACCCTGAAGAGGTGTGCCTTGGATTAATGAGACCGTTTGGTTGTCGTTGGTCACTGCGTGTGAGACATGGGTTTTGGGCAACTGCAGGCCGTGAAGATTTGGCCCTTTTTTGGCAGTGGTTCCAACAGGTCTTCCCCAACCATGATGTTTCGGAAGATCTTCGACAGGGTGTCGTTGATGCAAGCAGCCTTGTGCCGGTACAGCTCCATGGAGATGGAGGTCGACACTTCAAAAGAACAGAGGTGATGATCCTTCAATGGCAGCCAGTGTTGGGAGGAGGAACAAAAAAGGCTTTGCCAAGTAGAGTTGGGTTGGCCATCAACTACCGTGGCAACACCTGGGGAACCCGGTTCCTTTTCAGTGTCCTTCCACGCGCAATGTACAGTGGTGGTACACCCCAGCCGTTGAACCGACTGTTCAGAGCTTTTGGAATCTTGTTTGCGTGTGCGCTGTGGTTTGTTGCGATTGTTTTAATAATGTTGATATCGTTAAAATTATGAACTGAGGAAATGGCATGAAGCGACTCTATCAGAAGGGCTATAACAATGGGGGGCTGAAGTTCAAGTTTGCCACCATTGGGATGAAAGGTGACGTGGTCAGCAGGTTCAAATCCCATAGTATGGCAATGCAGGAGAGTTGGCTTGTCTAGGTGATCTACCGTATCAAGTCAAAGCGGCTGGATTTGTGCGCTCATTCAGTCATGTACGCAAAGCACCTGAAGCTGTTCACTCAACACTCAACGGAATTGGCTGGATGCTGTTGGTTGACTGTCAGCATTGATCAATAGTAGTGCGTGCATGCATGGGTCTTGTGCAGAATGCTGACATTGAGGCTGTGCATGGCTGGCGCAAGGGATCATCCTTTTAAGGACCTGAGCAACACAGTGGCTTGGATGCAGCTAGGCAAAATCCCGCAAACATTCTTTGATGAATGGACATGACTTCAAGGCGAGTTGGATCAATACTATCGGTGACCAAGGGAAACTTCCATACATGAGGACACCTGCGTTGCTTGAGTGCTGCTTGAGTGATCGCTCGCACCCGGCAAGTTTTTTCAAACTGGATTTGTTTCATGTTTGCTGCGCAGGGATTTTGAAAGACTTTGTTGGCTCATGTTTGACTGTTTTACTGGAATTGTTTGACGAACCCAACTTGCCGGAGAGAGCTGTCAAAATGAATGAAGTGCTCAAGACCTTTTGCAAGAACCAGAGGCACACGTTTCATGCAAATCAGCTGAACCTAACCTTGTTGGGGTACTCTGTCAAAGACTATGTCTCTGGATCATGGAGCAAAGGGCAGGACAGTATTGTCCTTCTCCGTTTTGTGGTGTGGCTGTGTGGGAACTATCCTGCAAATGACATTGAGCAGCATGACCTGATCAAAGTGGCTGCAGAGGTTTTCTGCAGATTTTGGGATTTGCTGCACGCATCTGGGGTTTGGATCTATGGTCAGGACGCAATGGATTGCATGGTCAAAGGCCAAGCCTTTTGCACAGCGTACCAAAGGCTGGCTGTGTGGGCGTTTGACAGTGAAAGGTTTTTGTTCAACATGGTCCCCAAATGTCATTGTTTTCATCATGTGGTTGTTGTGATGAGAATGCAGCTCTTAGCGCATGGGGTTGTTTGGAATCCATTAAATGATTCCACGCCCCAAGATGAAGATTTCGTTGGCCACACGGCCAGGGTTACACGTCGAGTCAGCGGCCGAGCCACTGCGCTGAGGACACTTCAGCGGTGGAAGCTGGGGGTTTTGCCAGCATTGCAAAGCAATGCAGCTTCAAACAAAGAGCTTTGCTAAAACAAACTTGAGCGATCCTGAGTGTATGTGCTCGCAATAGGTTTCTGAACTCTATTTGCGCAAGTTTGAGCCAGTGTGGGCTTTCACAAGCCCATGCGCGTGCTTTGACAATCCCCGTGCATGCATGGGCTTTCATAAGGTTCCCATGGTTCCCATGTATGGGCTTTCACAATGCCCGTGCATGCGTGGGCTTTCACAAGGTTCGCATGGTTCCCATGTATGGGCTTTCGCAATGCCCGTGCATGCATGGGCTTTCACAAGGTTCCCATGGTTCCCATGTATGGGCTTTCACAATGCCCATGCATGCATGGGCTTTCACATGGTTTCCATGTATGGGCTTTCGCAATGCCTTTATGTGGGAAACATGTGAGTGCCCGAATTGCTGGATAGGTGCCTTCGCAGGTACCTATCTGTGATATGTGTGCAGTACACAATGTACTTCAAAACAGACCAGGTGTGAGGAGGGCCACTTATGCGCAAATGCTGTGCACTGCTGCATGTATGTTTTGATGTGCCAGCATACTTTGGCCCGAGCAAGTTTTTTTGCATGAGTGGCTCAATGGCTGATCCTGCCAAAGCCAAATCTGGGACTGCCATGTCGGCGGATGCGCCACCTTTTGTGTTGGCAGGGCGCCCTGTGTCGTACTCACCGCCGTACAAAGTTCCACCACCAGAGCTGCAGAGTGCTCTTGGATCTCAAGCAGTGGTGCGGAAGGCTCCGCCAGGCCAAGCTGACCAAGTTCCTCAAGCAGTGCCGCGGAAGGCTCCGCCAGCCAGGCCAAGCTGACCAAGTGCTTGGTCAAGCAGTGCCTCCGAAGGCAGTGGCAAAGCAGGCTGAGGCCAATGCACCTGCTGTTCAAGCACAGTGGAATGCTGCACCAGTGGGACTGCCGACGCCGGAGCTACAACACGCCTTACGGGTAATGCGCAATTTGCAAGCGCTGGAGGCATCCCTCGATCTAGCTCAGTTTGACTCTGGGCTCAATTTGTTTTATGTTTGTGCATGGCAAAGTTGTCAACCAAATCCATGAAAATTTTTGATTCCTTGTGGCATGTTTGTTGCATGTAGGAACTTCAACGCTACAGCATCGATGTCCTTGATGACTGGTGCACGGTTGGCTCACAAGAGCATCGCTGGATGAGCAGGCTGCGTGGTTGCATTCAGTGTTTGTGCATGGTCTAGTGCTCATGGATTTGTCTTGGGCTTTCACAAGCCCATTGTCTTGGGCTTTCACAAGCCCAAGACAATTAGTGTTGCTTTGTTGTTTGAAAACTTGTGTGTCTGAGGCAATTGCAGGATATCGCTCGCAACCTCTCAGATTGCAGGAGGCAATGCCTGGTGGTGTGCCAAATGTGTGGTGTTGACACACGTGCCTGAGTGAGTGGCCAGATTGCATGTGCAGGATCGCATTTCACCGAATTTAAAGGGCCGGTGAAAGAATTCACCCAAAGGGTGAATGAGTGTTTCAGAATTTAAAGGGCTGGTGAAAGAATGTTCACGCTTCACCTCTTTCAGCTGTACAGGCTGACGAATATGAGCAACGTTCAAAAGAATAATACTATTTGATGAAACTCGTATATACACATGCAAATTATATGAGCAACGTACATGATGAAACGACCGTATTTTTCATACATAAAATGACTGTAAGATGAAGCGACCGTATTTTTTTTGAAGCGACAAAAAATGGTCTTTTTCAAGCGACCAAAAAAAGTGGTCGTTTCAGGTTCCAGGTAGAGTATATATGTATATATTTAGCGTTTCTCTTTTGGGAGCACCGTCTAGCATCCTTTTTTGTCCGGTCAGTCCTCCGGTCTTCGGTCCAGCCGAGCGCACGGTCCCCAGGCCGCACGAGCGCTTTTCACCAAGCTCCACCGAGACAAAGACCGCCGCGAGGTGCGAGTCCACCGCGATGGGACGAGCTGAGCTCCGAACCGGTGATCCTTCACCCACAAGGGCGGTTTGAGGATAGCGATGCTAATGGTCGAGGTGGTTTGAAGTTCAGCTAGCGATGCTATCCGCTATCCTCTCGGAGTTCTCGGGTTAAGCAGCAGCCCTGGATGACTGATAGTGAGTCAAGGATCCCTGGTTTGCAAAACGCTGCATCCAGCCAGTTGAAAGAAGAGGGAAGCGGGGGGTAATCCTTCGATCCTCGCCCAGGGCGCTCTGGTGATTTGTTGTGAGCTCCTTCGACTCTACAGCAGCTTGGGACAGGTGAGGTCTCAGACCAACGATTGCACAAGTGACCTGAGCGGCTGCGAATCGATGAGGCATCCCAATGCGCTTTTGTTCTCACAACGGTGGGTCTGCGTCCCAGCTTTCTCTTCCCATTCTTTTGTGTTCGGTGAAGTGACGAGAACTGAGGCAATGCCTCAAAGAACAATGCGCCGGCTTCCCAGCACCTCTTTAGTTGCCTTTTGTCGTTGAGATGAGAGCCCTCCTTTCCTGTGGGCTGCAGGTTTGATGCCGTCAAACTGCCAAAGTCCTTGCTGGTGACTTTGTGCCCGTTGCGTTGAGAATTGGGCCAAAGAGATTTATCTATAGTTCTCCAAAGTGCTTGTTCATGACCGGACTTGCGAAAAGGCTTTCATGTGAATCCTGCCCATGTCGCCTTGCCCAAAAGCTTCGGTTCCTGCCTACCTCCATTGACAGTTGTGAGGTATTTTCTCTGGGGCAAGCACCTAGTCATGGCGGGTAGCATCGAGGAGGTCGGCACTCCTGTCCGTTGCAGATGTGATAGTTGGGTTCTGTGAGCGATCGCATGAGCTCTGGACCAGGCCGAGGACAAGCTCAACCGAGCGCTGGCCATTTGCCCTCTGAAGGCCGTGGGCGTGCACCGTTGACGGGCTCATGCTTGTTCGAGAGGGTTTTTGGGTTTCACATTGACTGGTTCCAGTCAAGCCGCAACAGACAGATGATTTGAAGACACATCGCATCCGGAGCCACACGTGATCGCAACCGGACTCAGACTTCTCCCAGCTTCCGGACATGGACCCACACGGACCCGCCCATCCTTCTGAAAGACCGAAACTCTCATCTCCTTTGTGTCGCCCTGGCCATGCCGTTGCTGCGGAACCGGCCAGTATCTGGGGCTCAGGAAGAGGTGGCGATTGACCAAACCTGTTGAGTATAGTGGCAACCTTGTTTCCGTAAGTGTAGCAAGATATCAACGCAGGGATATGGCAACAGTAACAGCTCGCAATGGGTGCTTGTACTTGGCTAGTGTGTTTTCTTCTCATGTAGCACCTTGTCTCAGATCGAATTTGGCCAGCTTGTGGCGTGACTAGTTCGTCTGCCTGTGTGCGCTCGCATTGGCTCTACCTGTTTGTTGGTGGCAAACATGCATGAGTGTGCAACTTTTATGCTTGCCAGGGTCAAAGACACTGGTGGGAGGAAAATGCAGACTACACAGAGAAGGGCTGGAAGAATGGTTGGAGCGTGGATGGATATCCCTATGTGACTTCCACAGCCCACTTCTTGAACGTCGCCGAAGGACACTCTCCGATTTCAGTCATTCTTTTCTCGGATGATTGTGGACATGGAAGACGTATAGTATAAAGTCACGAGAACATTTGCAGCAAGTGTCAAGTGTTATTGGTTGGAGTACCATAGGAAGTGATACAGTTACAGACCCATAGTTGTTTCCCCGGCTCCTTTGCACTTAGTTCATGACAGGAACCCATCAATCGACATCTCGAGTGACAGCGCCACCCTGGGCACCTCACTATCCCTATGTCCGAGCGTTGCAGGGGCCCAGTGCACCCTCCAAGAAGAAGCCAGCCGAAAGTCTTGCAGAAGAGGTGGAGGATTTGATGAATTTCGGATCTGGGCACTTGTCAGCTGCAGTGATTCAGGTCTTGGATCGTTTGGAAGAGGCCTTTCGCCGCTCGGACCCCCAGAGCATGATGGAGGCGGTCTCGGAACTCGGTCTCCGAGGCGGTTTCGAGGAGTCGCTCTTGGCCTCGCGTGGCGCAGAGCTCCTGGAAGCTTCCAACGCGGAGCGCAGCGGAAGCGGAAGCGGAAGGGATCGCGGTCTGAAGGCCTCGCCGAATCCGAAGCTCGCGGCTCTCGAAGCGGAGATCCTCCGGCGCTTCGGGCGCGCCTTTGCGCAGCAGCCGGAGCGCAGCCGGGCCTTCGTGGACGAAGGCCTTCCGGAGCCGCTGCTGGAGCCGCTGCGGCGACAGCGGATGCTGCGCGCCGTGCGGGCGATGACGGCGCCGAAAAGCGCCCCCGTGACGGCGCCGGCAAGAGAGAGAAGCGAAGGAAGCGAAGGAAGCGCGGCGAGGAGCAGAGGAGGAGGGTACTCTGGGTGTCAACCAGATCATTTGCCGGCTCAACGAGCTGTTTCTTCCTATCACTTGGCCAGCAAGGATCAAGCGCAGCTGTCTCAGGCTGTTCTTGAATTGCCCTGGTCCGGGAATGAGAAGTGGGAACGACGGTGGGAACAGGAGAACTGGACGAATTCAACATCAGCTTTGTGTGTTCTTAAACATTGTTATTGTTGGCACAGTATTTGCAACATACCCAGGCACCAAAAAAGCAGGTGTCCTGATCACCCAGACACCCAAAAATGTGACCCACACATTTTGTCTTTAATGCTAAGTCTTTTTTAACGCCTTGGGTAGAAGAATCTGCAAAGTCATTGACAGGAAGACAAGAGCTATTTTTTAAGACAAATTTTGTTGTGTGTCTTTAAAGCTTGACATTTCTTTGTGTTTCCGGCGACAGACCAAGGACTTGATGTGGCATCCGGGCATTCTCTACGGAGCGCACCAAGCCCTACCGCAGCAAAGATAGTACAAAAAAGCTACTGCGGCAAGCATGCTTCTATATAAGAGTGTGTTGGCATGTACAAGATGTACGGCAACTAACATGAGAGATGTGGATCATCAAAGCATTGGAGAGATGTTGGGTGAAGTGGCTTCCTTCAGGCTGCCCGAAACCGATGTCAGTCCCTCTCCCAGAGTTGCCAAGTCGCCCAAAGCAGGTCACCTGAATCGTCTTTATTTTGAATGGAGCTCAGGATCCTGAGATATCTCATCCCCTGCCGTCTTCGGCTTGGACAGTATCCAACGCAAGGCCAAGCTCATCTTTGACAGTATAGGAATTAGCTTGTCTTTTTTGGCCCAACAAGCGACGGACTCCAAACATTGCAAGTCATCAAGTCTTCCGGGTGTTCGGAGTGCAGAACCCCGTCAGACTGCGAGCCAGGCCTATTGAAGCGTAATGACTTGCAGAGGCGATTTGTTCTGGTGTGCTTGGTGTTGCCCCCACCGCAAAATCCAAGTCTAACTCCAGCCCAATTCCCCAACCAATTCCCCAACCAAACTGCCCAGCCGCAAATCCATGCATGCATCATCTGTATTTCCGAGTTCTCCCGGCTGCACGCTCGGCTGCACGCTGCAGTCTGACGGGCATCGTAGCAGCGACAGCTACCGGGAACGTCAAGCGCTTCAGCGAGGCGAACACGGCAGGGTGCGTGAGCGAAGCCTCTTCGGGGAGACAAACAAGTGCAGTTTGGGGGTGTCCCAGTAAACAGTAATGTAACAGTCGGTAGGGGACGCTACTAGGGGCTCCTGGCATCGCTACTAGGAGCAAGGACGCTACTAGGAGCAAAGGGCATTGCTACTAGAATAGGACTACTTGAGAGATGTCGGCCGTCTCACCGAAGCATCATCCGTTACAGGGAATGAGATAGATCAAAGCATCCCAAAGTATAGTTGATTCGGGAAGACAAGGCATCGAAGAACACATGAGGATCATGGATCATCGAAGAACGCAGCGTTACTCCTCTCCCCGTTTCACTGCTCTCAGTGATCCAAAAAGGTGAAGAAAGTATCGGTCTTCGTGCAAGTTGCATAGTTGTTTCGCTGTTGGGTTTATCAAAGTCTGGAACTGAATGATGATGATGTGATTCTGGTGTGAAAGATGTGCCCCAGGAGCTTGAGAAGCAGGCACGCGTGTTGAATTGTGCTATTTTGATTCCAATTATTTGAAACATCTGCACAAACACACGGATGTTTCTCCCACGTGTGCGATTCGATTCGAGTGATCTGGAGGAGGACACTTTAATTTGCTGGGGAACCTACTTGGTTGTGGTCCCAACCTCAGAACATCCATTTGGGAGCGAGCTTGACGGAACCCGGCCGGCGCACGCCTCTCGTCGCGTGGCCCCCGCCAGGAGAAGCTTAAGATCGTCGCTTACAGGAATTTGGTGCGCCATGTGTGCAGCACTTAGACTTGTTCCACAGAACTGGATCAGTTCCGAACTGGTGGAAAAGGCCGTTGGTGTGTTGAGGTACGAGATTCAATGCGAACTTTTAGAGGGGGCTCAAAAGGTCAAGCAGGACTGATTATAGATGGAGAACGGGGGACGCAGGCAGAACGGGCTTCAGTCTCAGGACTGTTCTGCCTGCGGACTCACCGCTTGTTTGGTCACATGCTTTGTGATATCCATGTCTCATGTCACAAGATTCAGGAACCTTCTGGCATGGAAGATCTTGTTCTTCAAACCAACCAGAGCTCCTCAGGCCTGCTGGAGCACCTCAAACTCACTTTCCTTCCAGGACCTTGCGCCTTTCGAGCAGGCCTTCCAATGGCAGGAGCCGACCCTTTGCGCAGCGAAGTTACTGGAACCGAGCCACTCGTGGCGCAGACTTCTCCCGCGAGACGCAACCTTTTGTTTCCTCCTGGAGGAAACTCTCCAATGATGTTGCCATAGGGTCAGATATTCCCCAATCAACTATAGTGGTCCCCAAGTGGATGGTCGCACGGTTTCCGATGCACTTTTAGTAGGCGGATCTACTTTTCTCTCTATTTGGGGGTCTATATAGACAGTATCAGTATTCGGATTTAGGATTTAGGATTGTGTCACAAAAACAAACCTCTGGACCGGCAGGATGACTGCACTCCGGACGAGACGCTCTGTTTGCTTGCCCACTTGGTGCGCTGGCACTGATTCCACGCACAGGGCTTGATCTATAACTTTAACGCATGTGGCCGAGACAAAGCGTTAGTTGTTCCAAAATGCGAGATGTTTGCTGTTTGTGCAAGTACTGATTGGCAATGATATGATATGTAGGGACTAAAGAACCAGCCCAGGATATACTGTATAGTATAGTATAGTATAGTATAGTATGGTGTAGTATCAGCTTTCCCAGTGTACAGCTTTGACTGTGATAGCTTCCCAACCTTCTCATCACCTGGCAGAGATTTTGGAGGTGGACACGTGGCTTCAGTAGTATAGGTTATCGGATGGAATTTGCTGTACTCGTATGTAGAGACACACACACAGAGAGCTAGAAGAAGGGGAAACGACCACATCCATCGACGCAAAGCCAGATCTACATTGGCGCTGTGCGCGGCTATCTTTCTGATGTTCATCGAAAGGTTGTTTTCTCAAAGGTGGGGTGAGACTTGAAGCACGTGACATTGGGCTGATGGTTTCAGTCGAACTGCTGGATTCTGGCATCAAGCTGATGTGGTGTATTGTCCCCTTAAAACTCTGAGACTTCAACGTTTATAGGATGAATTAGCCGCATTTGAGACCTGGTGGCCTCAAAAGTGGACCATTTGCGAGTTATCAAAAGCGCAGACTTGTAAACAGCTACAACGCCTTTTGTTGATAAGTGTTGTGCATGCCAGGAAATGCCTTTCCCGCCTGTGAGTTCGTGGTCCACCAAAGCTTAAGCTGATCGCGCTACATCTAGTGGGCACGAATTATGTTCGGAGTAAAAAGAAGCGCTGCAGTGCCAGGGTGTTTGTGCAAAAAGTTTCCGCCAGCAAGGATATCGAACAGGGCCGGGAGCAATTTCGCTCAGTGTTGTGTTTCCTCCCACTCACAGCGGTCTGGTCTAGCCCAGCATAAAGGCGATAAGGCTTGTGTGAGTCGGACCGAGCAACTAGGCTAGGGGTTTCTCTCATCAATGACATGAGTATCACGGATCACGAAATCTCAATCAGTTTTGGCCAGCATCAACATTGCACTGAATTGAACTGTAGCAGGACAACTTCTGTGTAAATACAGTAGAAAAGCTGCTTAATGGCCCTGCGGATACACAAAACGTACTGTAAGTACTCAGGCCGTGTTTCAACTACTTTAGTAAATACGAAGCATCCACAGCTAGAATCAGCTAGAATAAGGAGAAAGGGCCTCACCATCGAATATATTGACACATGGCCATATTTAGGTGCTACGTGCGACAACCTTTGTGACTTTCATCGAAAGGTGGTTTTCTCAAAGTCGGGTGAGAGCCAAAGTAGTGCGAAATGGAAAGTGTTGTGGAAACAAGGAAAGGCTACAGGCTCGACGGGCTGGCAAAGTTCCAGCACATGCTTCGATTTGTGCTGCCGCGGTTCAAATGTTCAGCCTTCTCCTGGCGTGCTAGATAAAATTGGCTTCATGACCCTGCTGGATTGCCTCTTGAAGCTTGGTGTCCAAGCGCCGCTGGTCTTCTCACGACCTTTCATTGTCTTTGTGCCAGACTTGCATCATCAAGTCTCGTGGCGGTCAAGGCTAGCCCTCCCTTAGACCTTGTATTCTGTTATGTTGTCTCAAAGAAGCTGGATCAAAGGCTGTTCTGACTTTTCGTTCCATGCCCAGGCTTCCTTTTAGGGTGCTGCTGGTTACCACCGTTCGCCATCATCCACATTCCACATGAAGGTTCCAAACAAGTTATTGGGAAGAATATCATTATCACAAACTCAAGGTCAAAGGTCTCTGCTGGAGCAGGTAGTTTGCACGGTTGCTGACATAATAAGGCAATTGGTCATTAACCTCATGTAGCTTCTTCAAAGTTACATGTTCTCGCCCTTCTTTGTTTGAGTGTTGTTCTCGTGCTTTGCTGCTTGAACGGTTTCATCACTTTAGAGAGTGTCATGTGTGGCATCAGTCCTTGTCAGAGGTAGTCGGCATACCAGGACCTCAACGGTAGTCCCGTTGCGGGCACTGGTGGTGGCTTGAGCAGAGGTAGTAGTGTTGTGAAGAGCAGGTTCCCAAGAAGCTGCACCAAGAGGCTGTCATGCTCTGAAACTTTCGTGAAGATAACTCGTGGCTCGAGCAATTGGGTTGGAAGGCAAAAGAGGCGTCGCTGGGAAAATGAACTTGATGTCATCCCCTTTCTTCAAAGGTCTCGTTGCTCTAGGCCCACATGGGCAAGCTTGTTGGCGCAGCAATGATGCTCGTTGACTTCTAGCTCTGGAAGTCTCATTGGCCAGCATAGCTTTACCTCTACTGAATGAGTAGGTGGTCATTGAAGTCCCCTCAAAGCTTTTTGCCGTTTCTGGGTAACAGGAATGTCCTTGGCAAGTCGGATCATTTCGGACCATGTGGGTGTACTTAGGTGAAGCGAAGGCTTAGAACTTCTGCGGAACGTTAATTTGCCTTGTCGAATTCCTGAGATGCCCAATTTGCGTTTGTGCTCAAGCGTTTCCGGATTTCGGAGCGAGTTTCGCAAATTGCTTTCTAGTATGCGAGTGAAGAGGCTTCGCTTGTGCCTTGCCAAGGAGGGGCCAGCTGAATATGCTCATCTTCGGCCCTTACCTAAGGTCAGACAGAACCCTCCGCCAGCAAGCGGATATGACATTTCCTCTGCGGATGCGTTAGTGGCCAGTGTCAGGCATGCTTGTGGTAGTCAGCAGCTGGGTCCTTCCGATGTCCTTGTTTTCCAATCCAATCAGGCTGACGAGACAATGGGCACCTGGGTAAGTGTTGCAACAATAGATGATTTCAGCAAGCTCAGGTGCATACTTTTGAAGGGGAAGCAGGAACTCGTTTTGTATGTTGGATTTCCAGAATCATTGCAAGGGGTGGATACCGTTCACATAAATATTTTTCAACATGGGCTGGATTACATCGAAGATGGCTCGGGCACAAGCAGGTCAACTGCAATGCTTGTGCACACACTGAACCGCATCAAAAACCAATTGGCAAGAGATTCTGGATCAGATGGCATGGGTGGGTGGAACTCAGTTTTTCAGGAGTTTCACAAGTACACTTCCCCGGCTTTCAAGCTGAATGGGGTTCCCGGTGCTGACGTGCAGCAATTGGAGGCCAACGATGTTCAAGTAAATCACAGGTATGGCAGAGTGAAACTTTCTTTGGAAAAGGGTGAAGGAGCCAGGCCCCTGAAAGGAGTCATGCTCGGAAGGCTAGCCTATCCTTCATTCCGCGATTGCTCAGACTCTCAACCCTACAAGCACCTGAATCCTGAGATTCATGAGAAGTTGACACCGCACGTTCTGCAGCGCTTGAAGTCCATGGAGGTTCTTGCTGTATTTGCCTTCAGGCCCAAAGGTGCCAACCAAGATGAGCATTCTGTCAGGCTTGATTTTGACAGGGCCTTCAGCTCTGAGACTCAACCCATACTTTTGGACTTTGTCGAATTGGACACTGAAGCGGGCTTGGATAGCAAAGTGCTGCTTGATATAGTTCCTGAACCTCTGCAGGCTTTTCTGCAGGCTCTAATCTTGAAGGAACCGTTCGTATTGGTAACGGATGGGAATGCAGATTGCACCTGGTGTCAAGTATTCAGGAGCAGTGCTCTTAAGGGTGTGGACACATACACTTGTGTCCCATGTGTCCTGCAGCACTACCCCAAGAAAGTGGACATGGGAGAGTTTCAAGAGGACACAGTGGCCCGATCTGGCTTGCAAGAGTTTTGGCATGCGTGGGCATGGATTCTCCACCACAACGGTATGCTCAGAGGCCCTCTGAACGCAACTCAGATCCGTTTGTTGAGATCGCGCCTTGAGGTCTTGGAGAACTTCCCAGTCACACGTCACCTAGCTACTTTTGAACAAAGAAGAGCTTGCTTTTGCTTAGTACGTGCTTGGAACCTGTGTAAAGCAGGTTACTGTATGTTTCATGAATACATTTCACTAGCCAAAATGCCTTGCCATTTTGGCTCAAGATTGAGTACTCAAATTGAAAGACCACTCCCGTGTTCCCTCCTCTCCATTTCTTTGTAGCCATTTCCGCCGCTGGCTCGGGAATCTTCGACTGAGAAGGAAATTGGTCGTTTTGAGGAGACCATTTTGGAAGGGACCGGTCGGGCCGCTGATGCTCTGGCAGGTCCCTAGGAGGAGACGCGCTACGTCAAATGTGAACTCCTCACCCAGGCTCTGTGTGCCAAGGTGCATGGACGCTGCCATGGCAAAGCTCCACGTGACTCCTCGCAAACGTCGGGCTGTGGCTGCCACGACCTCGACCTGCGGCTGTTGTGGAGGCCCCTGCGGAGGCAGACGCCGTTGGCTCTGAAACCTCCAAAGAAGCCCCCGTGCATGGGGAAGCCTTGGGCTCCAACACCACGGTGCCACTCAATGCCTTTGTGTGGCTCCCCCCAATCAAGGCGTCGCTCCGCACCCGGTCTCTACCATGACGATGAACCCTGTTGGGCACCTTCAAGACGGGTGACATTGCTCAGTCTCTGGTGAGTCCTGGAGACCTTCTTTGTGGCCAACAGCCAGGCGCCCTGTTGCAATCGGGGCAGGGCTCCGCGATGGGGGCCAGTCCGCCAAGGTGCAGTCCGAAGTCCCTAGCGAGCCATGGACAGGGAGCCCGACCAGATGACCACGGTTTCCACCCGGAGACTCGCAAGGCGGCCAAGCTGATCTCCAAGGTGAAGAGTATGGGCAAGAAGCAGGAGGACCTGCTGGTCTCGGCGGAGAACACCGTGGCAGTGCTGGCAGAGATGCAGGCCGGTGCTCAAGGAGGTCCCCGAGGCAGATGGAGCCGAAGTTTCGCGCAGAGCAGACCTTGAGCGCTACAAATCGGTGGAGGGAAGAGCGGTCCAGAGACTCCCGGTACCTCTCCTTCAACCATGTCAAATGGATCTTGACAAAGCCAATTCTTAAGAAAAGATCAACAAGGACATCCGGGAACGCAACGAACACCGGAACGCCATCATCCACCCGGTGGCCTCAGTTTGGTCGGGGTGGCCCGATCACTTGAAGAATGCCGCCGAGATGGGGTTTTTGAGCCGGAGAATTTCTCTTCGTAGAGTATGAGCACACCTCCAACACGCTCGCCACCTACCTCTCCATCCACGACATCCTGGTGTTGGGGCACCCTGCGGTGGTTCTTCTTTGGATGTCAACAGTGTGCACCGACTCAAAAACTAGACGACGGTTGGCCCGAGAGCGAGAAAGGTGATTGTCAAGCAATACGTTAAAATCGAGTTGTCCAAGAGCCATGACTTCTTTATACAATCTGTTATTGAGTAAGAAGTTGCGAAGAAATTAGATGTAAAATATTGAGAGTAAAGATATGTAGAAAGAGAGAAAGAGAGGGCGGATGTGAAGGAGTGACAGTGTGGATTTCAATGTGCAGGTGTGATATAGATGTGGAGATGCCTGGGTGTGTGGAGGTAGAGAGGTAGATCTGCGGATGTGAGCGTGCCACACGGTCTGCCCACACACATATATTGGGTGGCGTGACTATTGGCTCGGACATGCAGGCCTTCCCCCATTTCGATGCATCCAAGCAAGACCTGGGTGAATTGGTATGAATGGTTCTGGGCAAAGACGTGGCTTCCCGTATACTGTCGCGATTTCCATTACAAGAACTCATGCCCCTGCGAACTGTGGCCCTTCCCACAACTGTCCAGTGATGAAGGATGGCTGGATCTGTAATGCTGCACCTTCACAGCACACTCCGGAGACTTGATGGGGTGTGGGGACCCTCCCACAGACGCTGTGGGCTCTGAAAGTGGCCCCCGCGAGTGGCGCGCCTCACCACTGGCAGTTGGAGTCCACCCTTCCATCCGCGACGGTTGTGGAGTGAACCCATCCGACGTTTACGAGCTCATCGAATCGACAACATCAGTGGCGTTGG